CTTTTTGTTATAATTGGAATTAAAACTGAAGTTTTCTATTATTGGATAATTAAGATATATTTCTGCTAGTTCATTGTTTATATATATATGTTTTTCTTTATTTTTGAATTGTTTTTTATAAACTTTAATATCATTTTTAGTACTCTATTATGTTTTGCATTTAAAGAGCTCTATATATAATATTAAGGCTTTGTCTAAATCATTTTGGTTTTCAAAATTAATAATAGTAAAGCTTTTTTTTTTTTTCAGTTTTACTGTTTATTGGAATATATATTGTTTTGGCTTTGAGATATTTGATAACACTTATTATTCTTATAACTGAAGTGATTTTATTAGTTCCATAAAATCTTATTATAATTTGATTGTAAGTTTCTAGAATTGAAAGATAACTTTCTAATGGAGCAATTTTTATTATTAAATGTCCAATGATATAAACCAAACTGAGTTCAGGTTTTTTTTTATTGTATGAAAAAATCTTATGACACTATTAAAGTTATTATTTCCTTTGATTATTTTAATTAAGTTAGATTTTTTATATTTACTAAAGATATATTAATTTTTCTTAATTGTATAATCTATAGAAATACCTATTAGAATCATTTTAATTATTTCAGATGTAGATGATAATGTTATAGAAGTGTCTTTTAAGTTTTCTGATAAAGTATTTGAAGATAAAGCATTGTTATTAGTATTGGATATAATACTTTAAGAAAAAAAGATGTTTTAAAGTTATTATTTGCAAATAATGATATTTGCTGAATTGTTAAAGTTGAAAATTATTTATTTATAATTTTCCATTGTTAAGACTTGAATCTTTTTGTATTTATAGAAACTTTTAATATTTCTGTAACTTGTTGAAATTACTTTTCTTTATTTATTTTAAGTATTGAATTGTATCTAAGTTGCAACAGGACTTTGCTATACTTATATACTAGATTAAATAAATTTAGTTTTTTACTAAACAATTTTATAGTTGCTTATTTAGTTATATTGAAAATAACATGATCTTTTTTTGTTAATATTTGATTTTTGAATTAAAACTAAACAGATATTTTCTTTGTTTTTTTAATTAATCTTATTTATACAGGTTTTGAGATCTTTTTCATATTCAAAATAAATAATATGTCATCTGTTATCATTCCAGAATATTGATTGAATTAAGTGTTAATTTTTTTATAAAAGTTTAAATATATTAGTCAAGTATTTGAGCTGTTTTGTTTTGTTATTTTCTGGTATTACTGTTGTTAAGATTTTAGCTTTGAAGAGATTTTTTTACTAATATAAAAGAGATTTTGTAATGAATATCATTTGTTTTTTGTTGTATATTCTATATATAAAAAGAATCTGATAGTGTTATATTATTATCTTTGTCAGATATACTGTATTATTTATAATTACTTCCAGATTTTATGACTTTTTACTAATTATTTCATAAATTATTTATTGAACTTTTATAACTATTTCTGGAATAAAGAACTGTATAATAATTTATAATATATTATAGTTGTGATTATTGTTTTCTATCATAGGTTGTCTAGAAAATAATATAATTCTTTGATTTCTATTTTGTAGGTGTCATAAGTCTTGAACTAAATGTAGAATATTTATAATTTAAAATACTTTTTGTAAATCTTTTAGCATATATTATTTAATATATTTATGTCTAGTTAATTGAATACCCAGATTTGTTTGATATATTTTTTAGTTAATATTCATTTTATAGCTATATAATATTTTGGAAACAATAGGAATGAAAATACAATATTTTATCACACTATATAATAATAGTAATATTAATAGTAGAATAATATAATAATTGGTAATAGCATATAATAAGAGGAATATATTCACAAAACATATAAATAAAATGATTTATGTAGTTAGAAAAAAACAGTTAGTCAATCAAAGTTTGAATTAGAATTTAGCTTGAAGCTTTTAGTTTAGAGTTTTAGAATGTACTTTATTTTCTTTCATTTTATTTAATAAATGCTACAGTTTTATATAATCATATTATATATTCTTTAAAGTATAAATTAAGCTTATATTATTATAGTAAAATAAAACACTTTTAAGAAGAAGAGATGTAACATTACTATTATATACTATAAGAGGGTAATACTTGTAATCTTGAGATGTACCTAGAGAAAGATAGTTAAGAAAGAATTAGCAAATATGCAAAAGTTGATCAAATTGTATTCTAACTCAAAGTTAAAGTCTTATTTTATTTAGTGTTAAAATCCAAGTATTCAGATTATTATCACATGAAAAATGTACTGTTTTAGTAACAAACTTGTTAATAATAACAGCAATAAAAGTTAATATTAAAAGGTTTTACAATGTTTACAATTGCTCTTAGATTTATCAATTCTGAAGTTATATTTGTTACTTTATCTTTAATTAAAATATGAAACTATTTTTGTTTTTTCTTTATTATAGTTGTTTTCCATTGTTTTAAGATAGTTTATTTTAGATTTTTTATTTGAATTGAATTAGAATTGGCTATTATATTAAACTTTTGCTAAGTTAACATGTGTAAACAAATTTGTTTTGTTATTTGTTTTTTGATATGTGTTGATTTGCTTAAAACAACTTGTTGTAAAGTATGATTATACTTTTTTAAATATAAAGAGTTGAAATTTATATATGTTTTATTAAAGAGGTTATAATCTGTTTATTTTAATAAGCCTAATTATATTTTATTACTTGATTTATAATATAATTATGTTTATATTACTACAGATCTTGTTTTTGAAAGTAAACTAACTTTGATAAAATCCAATATTATTATAAACACATATTTGTATTTTAGGTTGTATTTGTTTATTTTGTAATTATTGTTATTATTTAGTTTAGAAAAAAATATATTTGTATTATTGTTGATCTTTAGAAAAGATAAACTGTTTTTGATTTTTCTGTTTTCAAAAAATTTTAATTATATAATGGTTATTATTTATTTTTAAGAAATATTAATATCTGTATTTTTCTTTTCAATTATAATAATAAGAAAGTTTTAATATTCTTTTGATTTTGTATTAATTAACAGTTTATTAAATATAATGTTGACTTTTTTTTTAATTTTACTATAAATTGTATTTTTTGTTTTTTCTTTTTTTTCAATAAAAAATCATAAGTATCTATTTATATGATTGAGTAATAAAAAAGAATTGTATACTTTTGAATTTGCAATATATTTGTTATATCTATCTTTTTTTATTTTTAAAAAGATATTATAAAGTTTTTTTTTTGATGTTTTCTTTGGATATTTTTTTAAAGTGTTTTTGAATATTATCAAAAAAAGAAATTTTTAGAAATTTTGAATATTATTAAAAAAAAATTTTAAAAAATTAATTATAAGTACAAATATAAATATAATTTTTTTCTTAATATACTATATAATATAAAAATAATTTATTATTATTATTTGTAACTTATACATATACAATATATAGTATTAATAAATTATATATATTTTATATACCTTTAAATCTTGCATATAATAATTAATCTAAAACCTTTTAATTCTAAAGTAACAATAACATTAATAAAATCAAGCCATTAAAATTTCTTGAAAAAATTAAATATGTATATTTATTTTAGAGAATCAAGTTACATAATAAATAAATACAAATTTTATATTAATATAAAATATGTAAATTGAATTTACAAAGAATATTGATTTTTTTTATAAAATTAATCTATATTAATTTATAAACTATAATAATTGTTATAATTTTTTGAAATATTTTTTGTAGAAATATATACGTCTATAGTTTTCAATTTTGAAAAATTGACAAAGAAAATTTTTTTATGAAGTAATTAATAAGCTTTGAGAGAGAATAAATTTAAATTTTATTTCTAACAATATCTAAAGTAACTAACTATATTATAAAATTATAAAATTATAATATTATAAAATTTGTAATACTTACAATTCAGCATACAAAACCTTTTTTCATATACGGTAATCGTTATTATTTATATCTATTTAATTTATTTTTAAAAATACAACAATTTCATATTTACATATTGTTATCTATTATTAATATTATTTTATGTTACAACAACATTTCAAGTGAGAGAGAGAATGCTTTCGTCAGTTCAGATCATAAGACTTGTGGCTTAGATACTGTAATACTGTATGGACGTATTTTATATATTCTATAGTGCGTGTATACGGGTATACATTTTGAGCATGCCAGTACTGGAATAAGAAAAAACCTCTTACCCAATTCGTGTTGAATGTCCAATGGGGGAATTATTAAAACATTCAAAAATAGATTTATTTACTTGTATTTCAAATCGGTTTCTTTGTTAAATTCATCCGATGCAAAGATGTTGTCACCCGTGATGTTTTTGTAAAATTTGTATCGACAAATCTTGATAATTGTTCGATTGTATAACGAATAATATTTGAAATGTTGAAACGAGGTTTCCTTTTTTATCAAGGTGAGGGCTGGCGGTTCGTCTATGAGAAGTCTCCCCGTTTTCCACAAAAAACAGAGGAACAAAGAGAAAAAGCTTAATTGTATGAGATCAAGGGGGTTACCATGATCCAGGCAAAACATTGAGCGTTCGTGACACCGAGCTTTGGGAAGACTGTAAGCGTGAAGTGTGACGAGCTAAAGGGTGTATTTCAAGTTCACCGTATTTTTACTAAGGTACCAATTTGGCAATTTGTAAAGTAATCAAAGTAATCAGAATAACCGAAATGCAGGGGACCAGAATTGGGTTATCTAGCAATGCACAGGTACAATTGAAAATGACTTTGTCTTCTTAGAATGGTTAAACCGGTTATCTAATCAAAGACAATCATTGTCATATAAGAGGATCTGTAGCAACTGCATTTGAAATCAATTCCAACTACCTTTCTTTCATTACTTGCTTGACTTGTCAACCCTCGTGCTAGACGTGAGGAGTCGATAGAATTATCTTTAGACCAATTTTTGATTTTGCTTTAGACTTATTTCTTTGAGAGAAATTTTCAATTAGCATTGGATACCATGGCGACACCGTTGCTATCAAATTTGAAAAACTATCATCGCTTCGCAGCTCATTCTCCTTGGATTGGCTCAAACACGAGTCGACTTCTTACTTACAAACCATCACATTTAATACCTGCTTCACCTTACAAACCGATAATTCCATCTTCTCAAATTCCATCATTACGACAAATAATAAAAACCCCGAGCAATATTTCTGTCACAGAAGGAAGCATTGACAGATTGGCAAATCTCAATGGTGTCGTTAACCGAAAGGTTTCGACGTCAACTGCTCGCTCACCAAATGTCAAATTTCCAAATATGAGCCCCTATGCATCTGCCATCCGATTTTTTCCATCGACCACAAAGAAAGCATATGGTATGCACCCATGCAATTTTTTCTAAATGGCCAAGGGCGAAACGCATTTTCTAATTAAATCATATACATATATTTATATTTATCCAATAAGTTGATACTGTCCCAACCATGCCGACACCAGAAGAGGATGTTAGCGAAGAAGGATTACAAAGGTTAGTCGCGAATTGCTCGTTTTTAGATAGCATAAATATGCTAATTCATTTTCATTTTACTATGTAGACTTAATGAAATCAAGAATGCGAAGCTCATATTCAATCAGGCTTGGAAGAATATCGAATTAGCATACGGGAAAGAAAACATAAAGTACATCATAGTATTACCTGTTACCTGTTATACTACTTGTGTGATGACGCGTTTTACTTCGGAATTCTAATTCTAATTTCCTTCCGTTGAATATATGTAGTCTCCCAAAAGAGATCATTTGGTTGATGGGGGCACCTGGGAGTGGCAAAGGAACACACACCAATTCAATTCTAAAGGCTCGTGGAATAACCAATCCAGCGATTTGTATGTCATCCCTTTTATCCACTCCAGATTGCAAAGACCTTATAAACAAGGGCCAAATGATCAGTAAGTAAAAAATCATTTCAAACATTTCACAACTTTCGTGGATCTAAATTTTCTCGTTGACAGGTGACGGAAAGGTTTTAGAAAACTTATTACGTGCACTTCTTAATTGTGATCCTACCGTGGGATGTCTTGTCGATGGATTCCCTCGCACGGATATCCAGGCCGAATGCCTGAAACTTTTGTACGACAAAATGCACGAATTGCGTCGAGAACATTGGAAAACACCGTTGCAGGACAACTTCCCGTAATAGAAATGATATTTTTTTTCCAGTCAAATTAGACATAACCAATTATATTAATATAATACCGAATCAAATTTAGTCGTCCCACGTTCCGTATTTGCGTCTTGTATGTCGATGAGGAAGTATCCGTAGCCCGTCAGTTATCACGAGGAAATAAGATACGAGAACACAACGCTCAAGTTCGAATGACGGGACAAGGGGTACTTTTAGAGGAACGGGTTACCGATTACGACGAAATGGTGAGTATATGTAGCAAATAAGCAAGATTTGCTATTTGTCATTCTCAAAATCGTTATCTATCTAGTTAATTCGAGCGCGCTACCGGATATTCAAAGAACATTTTGGGGCTTTGATGAAACTTGGAAAACTATTCCCATTTCGTAAGTAATTTTTTGTGTTTAAGGATTTGATAAAAGTTTTTTTTTTTTTGATTATTTTATTTTCTTTACACGACAACTAGATCTCATCAATGCTATCGGAACCATCGATGATGTGATGCACGTGATCATTAAAGAATTCGAGTACCAGAGTTCTCTCGAACTTGGTATGTTACAATATTGACAATCTATATTTTCTTATTTGATATTCCCGAATTTAATATTTTTGATATCTTTATCTGTAGATCACACGACGTACGATGCCATCGCCCACATTCCTCTGTCAACAAAGATTGGCATCCACGCACGACAGGATTTGATTAGCAGACTTGAACATTATCAAGATTTAGAGCCTGAACTCTTTAA